AAAAACCTTAACTGCCCTACCTGAGCTCCAGTGCACAGCTTATTAGAAGCAAAAAAAACCTGAGAGAAACTGGGGCACTTGCAAGACTGTCACACCAACAAGCAACGAGAACTAACAACAGAAAAGGAAAACAGAAAAATAAATGTATCAATCAAGAATTCAAAAAGCTGTACAAAGGCCTACATATACCAAGACTTTGTGAGGTATATCATACTACAATGTGATGATTTCTAAATGATGAAGATGTTAAATTATATTCAAAACACTTATGAATAATATAGGAAACTAAATTTTTTTTTAGTTAAAATAGGAAAAAACTGACTTTTTAAAAAAAAGTTTATTTTTCTGGGTTCCATGTATGTAAATCATTGTTCCTTGGAGAATTTTACAACTGTATTTATATATTTTATTGATTATTTAAAAAAACAAGTAAAATCTGCCCAGCAGCATTCCAATAAAATCCTGAGAGAACCAAAATGCCCCACACATGCTTGCAAGTAAAAGATGTTCATCAAGATGGGAGACAAACACTAAAATTAAAAACTGAAAAGTCTACGGCACAGCCATTAATCCAACTCAAATTCATCCAAGCCTGGCCCTATGTCTGAATCTGCACAAACTATACACATTCAGTCCAGATTACAATCTTGTGAATCAAGTATGAGCCCACCTTATAGAAATCTAAGTCTCAGTGATAAATCTCAGGCTGAATGTCATCATAGTGGTGGAGTGAACCAAGTGCATGCATTTTCTATGACGCCTTGCCAAATTTTTTAATTGACAATTCATCTTTACAAACTGCAAGTAAATTAAGAAATATTTATACTTTATTGTCGCACCACGAAAAGCAATTACTAGTGGCAACCTTCATTTCCCAAAGTATGTTCCTAGAACACTGTACCCAGAGTGAAACAGGCATCACCAGCTATGGTTGAAAGAGGGAACTGTATCAACCCAGAGTTTAACAGGAATCACCAGGTATGGTAAAAAGAGGGAACTGTATCACTATGCCTGGAAAAAACTGGTTTCAATATGTGAAATGTTTCTCTGTGCATTTATGTTCCTGCCTTTCCTCATCTTTATCTGAATGTAGATACAGAAGAAATCACAACAGATCCGAACTAATTTGTCTGAGATACACATTCCTAGATAAGCAATGGGAACAAAATGGAAGCATCTGAATCACTCACCAGTACCTATGGACAGAACTCTGTACTGAGATGGAATTTTGCTCAGTATAAAGTCTGTACTAAGGACTTAGACAATACTTAGTCTCTTGTATTCCCACTGTAGTCTACTTCAACACAAATTATAAAATCATTCCATATTAGCACATATAACATCACAAATAGAACTGACTTCCTGTGGCTAAGAAAAAACATTTTCTCTTCAATCCCATCTGCTTTTCATTAACATTTACTTCTAAGCATACTGTAGTAAACTCTGCTTCACTATCTATTCATCTGGAAAGAAAAAAAAAATGCCATATTATCTTCTTTCCCTTTTCACTTCTTTTTAAAATTGAACTGATCCCTAATTCATGTTTCATACTGAATCTCACGAAACCAGAAATTTAAAGCACTACAACAGCTATATGAAAAAGTGTTCAACATCACTTATAATCAGAGAAATGTAATTCAAAGTCACAATGAGATACCATCTTACACCAGAGAATGGCAAACCTTAAAAAAACAGACAATCACAAATGTTGGCAAGCATGTGTAAAAAAGGGAACTCTCCTACACTGCTGGTGGGAATGCAAACTGGTCCAACCACTATGGAAAGCTGTATGGAGGTTCCTCAAACTACTAAAAATGGAGCTTCCATATGATCCAGCAATTGTACTCCTAGGAATCTACCAAAGGGCACAAAAACATTAATTCAAAAAGATACCTGCACCCCTATGTTTACTGCAGTACTACAATAGGTAAGATATGGAAACAACCCAAATGCCCCAAAATAGATGACTGGATCAAGATATGGTATATATACACAATGGATTATTACTCAGCAACTCATGCCATTCACAGCCACATGGCTGGAGCTAGAAGGGATAATGCTCAGTGAAAAGCAGAAAGAAAAAGAAAAATATCAATGGGTTTCATTGACATTTATAGGAAGAATGTAGGGAAACCAAATAAGGGATCAGGAAAAAAATAACAACAACAACAACAATAATAATAAAACAAAATTAGCAGGTAACCATAAATCAGAGATATTCTGTGAGGGGAGGCTTGCATGTGTTTATGCAAGCATCTTCTCCTTTCTTTCTTCTTTTTTTTTTTTTAAATAAAAAACCTACCCTTTTGGACATCACCAAGTGCCTGTGCTTCATGGGAAAATTCATTGCATGCAGATAAAAGGGAAACATGGTGAACTTTTCCCAGGAGTAACCAATGATCCAGCTCACTGAACCTAATACCTCATCAAACTGACATCAATTATAGTTTGATGAAATGACCTTTGTTTAACTCATAAATAACTTTTACTAAAACCTCCAAAAGACTGAAGAGTTTGTAAGGTTTGTGGATGATGTTCATCCCTTTGCCATGCTCGTCCACACGGAAGAGAATGAGATAAAGCAAAGAGGTCCTCTGAGCACTGAGACACACCAAAAAATATAGGACAGGTTTTGCCAAGGTCCTCACTGAACTAATCTCTGAATTGTGGACTATTTCTTAATTTAGGATGAACTTCACAGTATCAGATCTAAAGATTCAGATGATGCCTTATAGAAGCTAGTTGCTTCTAACAATCCATGAAGTTTTCCTGTATTGAAGTAACCAATGTGTCACGGTTATTAACTTTTTCCTGAAATCTGTTTAGAAGATTTTACTGGGTCACACTGTAAAATATTGAAATAAAAAAAATACAATGAAGTGTAATCAAAAGCATCACCAATTAGGATGGAGTGTGTGTATTGATAATGTCCCTCTAATGGCAATGACGTCTAAAAATCCTCATCACAGTTAATGTGACCTCATCAGAGTCAAATAATGTGGTAACATCACCCCTGGGTGCCCTTCTGGAGACTTCAAAGCATAGAATTTGCCCTTCCAGTAAGGAAAATACTGCAAAGTACTCTTGAGGAGGTGACTTTTCATGTCTTAGAAAAGAAATTTGTATCCTGTGTATGTATCTGTAAGTCAATCACCATAACCTACGGAAAAATCACTGACAAAGTACTTATTATGGTGAGGTCACACCCTGGCTCACCTACTTAGAATCATGTTTACTTGGGAAAATCACAGCTACACTCTTCATTTGAAGTATGTAATGTCATCACTACCTACCTTACTTCTTTCCTGCTATGAAGTAAACATTAGATGAAGTGCTCAGCACAAGTGTATTGCACAGTGGGGGTACACAGTAAGTGCTCAATAAGTGCTAGCTGTTATAAGCTACTGGAAGATTTTAACATCTATGAAGAAACTATTCCTATTGATTCTGATTCTTTAAAAAAAAGTAAGGTTCGGGCCCTCCCTGGTGGCGCAGCAGGTTAAAGCACAGCACTAAGAAACTTAAGCCAATTCTGCATGAGTTCGATCCCCGCCTGCCCTGGAGGAGATCCACATGGCGTGGCAGACCTCTCCTGACCCGCCTGCTGCTCCCCTCAGCAGTGTACTTCATTGATCTACCTCTTCTGCTCCCCACATTGTCTCTGGTGAATTCTCTCACCCTCCGCACCTCTGGCCTGTACCCCATTTCTGTATGAATAAATAAATCTTTAAAAAAAAAAGTAAGATTTATTCATTTATGCAACAAGAACTGAGATATAGGACAGAGCTGTGGGGGACTGACAGCGACAGAGTGGGGAGCAGACAGGCAGGTCTACTGAAATACACTGTTGAGGGGGCAGAAGGTGAAATACAGGAGAGGTCTACTAAAATGTGTGAGTTGGCCCCATGGTAGGGAGACTGGAAACAGCTTGATAGCACTGAGACTTAATCCCTGCACCACCAGGAAAGTCCTCAGATGTCAATTTTAAAATCACATAATTTTCACCTCTCATTTATTAAATAATGAATTATATGTATTTAAGGTAAAGTTTCCTAATAGTACAATATCCTTGCATTCCTAGAAAAATTCTACTTGGTTATGGTATACTATTATTTAGATGAGCTGATAAATTAGATTTCTTGATGTGTAGATAAGACAAGTCACTTTAAACATATATAGCTTAAGTATTTGGAAAGGTAATTACATTAATAACCAGATATAGATTTTTAAAATCAAATTGATTTTTAAATTGCAATGCAGAACTGAAACTGCCTTTTGTCTGTCTTCTACAAACTAATTCCAGAAAACATGAGATGTTCAATGTTTTCTGCAACAGCAATTTTGAAAGATGAGGCAAGTTATAAGTATCAGAAAGCAAAAAAAAAAAATACATCTGACAAAATAATCTAGGTAGAAAATGTCCTGAAATATACAGATATATAGAAAAATAGTTTCACCTAAATAATACCATCTGTATTTTTAATTTTTTAATATTTTAGTCCTAATTTTCTCACATTCTTCAGGACTTTTCTTAATACTAGAAATGAATCACACAATATAACAGGATAGGGAAAAGCTGTTGTAATATTATTGGATCCAGGCCAACAAAAATAATGCAAAAGAATCTTAATAGCCATTTCAGCAATTTTTTTTCAGTTATTACTTCCAAAATCAATTAGTTAAACAATAAATTTATAGTTATTAGTCTCAGATGGAAATCAGCATTTACTATGAAAAGCAACAATCTGATCCAGGGTGTTCACTGATAAACTACTGGAAGTTATAACAACTCTCATTTTCATAGTTTACACATTTATTTAATCAAAACTTAATCACACACACATTTATTTAATCACAACTTAAGACTATCAGTTAAAATCAAAGAAATAAATATATGAACATCAGCATTTCTAACATTTTATTTCCTACTGTACTAGAAAGACTGCTACAAAATGAAAATATTAAAAGTGTGAACATATTAGATTACTAACAATACTCACGCATCATTTGAACAAGTCATAAATTCTCCCTTGACTTTGGGATGCCATGAGCCAGTATGTAGCATCGCTGTATGACCCTTCCAAAAAAATAAAAATAAGGAAAAGAGATGTTCAAAAGGTAAGAAATAAACTGACCAGAAACTGACACATTACATTTAAAGTAAAAAAATTTAGTCCTCTAAAAATAGTTTGATTCCAAACTATTATCTTATCTCAATGGTATTTCATAGTATGCTATGTTTACTTCATTTTGTTTATTTCCATGTTGTTAAACTCACTGTGTAACCTCCCCATCCCAGGAATTAGCCCTATACTTGGATAGAATAGATGCTTAATATGATAAAAATAGAGGGGAAAGGACACCATATTTTTAGGGGAAAAGTACAAGGTAAAACTATCAGAAGAAAGCCATTCCTTAAAGACATTTTGTCTTCAGTGGAAAAAAAGAACAGAAAGGATTCACAAGTAGTAAAAACAAGAAGGTAGGAGGAAAACTCCACACTTCCTAAAAATGTGTCAACAATCTTGATTCTACACTCGTCTATAAGTTCATGAGAAAAGGAAAAAACATCTTATAATGATCTGGAAAATCAGCTCTACTAGATATAAAATATAATATAAAACCACTATAATTAAAACAATGGATGTTGCTATAAGAACTGACATACACACAAATCAGCCATTGAGAACATATCAAATATAAACACACATACTTTTTCACCCGAGATAGCAAAGTCTACCAGAATGGTTGCATGTAATAACTCAGACTCAAGTAAGGCAGTGAAGTCAATTACTTTTTAGTATAATAATGACAGGATCCCTTATTCTGAAAGAGTTTGAAGCAAAGCTATGGTAAAAAGAGCAAAATGTACATATTTGAATGTCTGAGAAGGGAAATAACTGTAACTCTGGAAAGAGTGAATTAGAAATGAAGTACCACGCATGGGCCTGGAGACCATCTCTAGTCCAAGTGGCACACAGTGCCTCAAATTATGTCTGGCTAAATCCTGACATTCAGATCTTGTTTGCGGGACACAAAAGGAGACCATGAGATAGAACCTCTTCTGCAGTAAGGAACGACTGAAGTAATGCTTGGAAGAACTAGATATGAAGTCTGAAACTATACTTTTCCCTCCTGAGTTCATGACTTGCATATCCAACACATCCATTCGCATGTCATGGATTTTTCAAGCATAATAGGCCCAATAGGAAAATCTTGATTCTTACTGTCCCTTCCAGTTAAAATCAAATTCATTCCCAGTTGCTAAAGCTGTTTTAAACTTGGAAATCACCCTTAAATATATGCTATCCTTAACTTCACTAACCAATAACTATCTGAAACCATCTGTAAGTACCAATAGCCATCATCCCTAAACTCTGTTTACACGCTGTTTCAGTCCATTGGCTAGTTCTATAAATTCAGCCCAAAATGCATCTCAAATCCTTCTACCTTTCTCCTTTTCCACCAATACCACTCCTGCATGAGCAGACATTATCTCCTGTCTCCACAGTAGTTATTTAGGTTTATCACTGGACTCTACTTTCCTGCTTCGCATAACAATATAGTCTTTAAAAATTAACTTCTAAAAGTGCCACTCTAGCTAATTATCTTCTACTGACTCCAGCCTCTTTACATAGTCTATAACAACTTATATTTCTGGCTCCTCCTTTTTCCACATCTTATTTTGTGCTCACTCTTGTCCAACATGTACCAGTCCACTGCCCTTTCATTTTCTCCAGTTCACCCAGCACTTTCTCTACATTAGGGCCCTCACAAATGCTTTTGCATATACAGGAAAGTTTCTTATTTCCACTTTCACTTAAGTGGCTTCTTCTCATTTTTTAAAATCTCAGTTTAATGCCACTTGCTAAATAAGTATTGACCGACCTTGTAAAGAATTATTATGGCCCATTTCATTGTTTTCTACCAGAGTACCTGCCCATTTCCTTAATAAAAGTCACCATAATTTTAATTCTTTACCTATTAATATGTTATTTGATTTTTGAAATTGTGGTAATGGTTTACATGTACAAAAACAAGGAAGGGAGAAACCTAAAATTGATTATAAACAAAGACATATGAACTGAATTATATTTCAAATAAACAACAAATATTCTATAAGGATAAACAAAGGGTGATAACCCAGTGATTATATACCATGAAGTAGGTTTAACAGTAGCCCCCAAAAGATATGTCCATGTTTTAGGAACAACCCAAATGCCCAAAAGTGGATGACTGGATGAAAAAGATGTGGTGCAGATACACAATGAAATATTACTCAGCAACCAAAAAAAATCAACACATGTCTTTTGCAGCAACATGGATGGAGCTGGAAAAGATCATGCTTAGTGAAATAAGTCAGAAAGAAAAGGAAAAATACTGATGGTTTCGCGTATAGCAGGAGTAAAATAATAATAATAATAATGAACAGTTATATACCAGAGACATTTTATGGGGGGTTGAGTGAGGAATGGGATCAAAAAAGTGGGGTGAGGGAAATGCACTGGACTATCGCAATGGCAGATGGGTGATTTGGTGTTGGGAAGCCCACAGGGATTACAACTGAGATGGAAAATGCACAAAATGATGGAAAAATAAACTATTATATTATTTTTTTAAAAAAGATATGTCCATGTTTTACTTGCTGGAACCTATGAATGGGACTCTATTCGAACAAAAAGCACTTGCAGAAATAATTAAGAAACCAGGGAGATCATCAGTATGGGTGACTCAGGTGGCTTCTCAATCTAAGGATGAATATCTTTACATGAGACAGAAAGTGGAAGGGTACAGGATGGAGATGGCTCTGTGAAAATAGAGGCAGAGACTGAAGATAGGCTGCAATAAACCAAGGAATAATCCAATCCAACTCAAAGCTGGAACAGGCAAAGGATGACCCATCTTGAGTCAGTAGAGAGAGTGTGGTCATGCCCACACCATGATCTAGGACTTCTGGTCTCCAGAATGTGAAAGAATAAATTTCTGTTGTCTTAAGCTAAGTGTGTGTTAATTTATTCCAGTAGTCCTAGGAAACTAATACACTGAATTTAATACTCTCATTCTAAAGATCAGTGGTAAATAAATACTGAATGCTAGTTAATACATTTGTTTCTTTTTTGCAGTGGTATGCATTAACAATTCTGAAACTGTTTTCAATATCATGAAGAATTAGGCAAATGAGAAAATATATTGGTAGGTAATAGGAGTCAGGTTTCTCGCAACTGGAGAAGGGACTTATAATAGTGAACAGAGGGAAAATTAGAATGAATTCTGTGGTGTTTGAAATTAGGGACAGTAATATGAAGTCATGATTTGTAATAGGTAGACATGAATACAGGTGTGTGTGTGTGTAAATGTGCAAATTATGATCTAGCTGCATGTGCGAAGGTTATCTAGAAGTAATGACACCCCAAAGAAAATCATGTACAAAGACTTTAGTTTCTAACTATCATTCTCTACTAAAATGAACCAGGGCTCCTTGCAGAAATGATTGCTTTTAAATTTGGGGTAGAAAAAATAAAAGATAAACAAGAAACATTCTGTTTTACTGAAAAAGAAGATACTGCAAAAATATCTGACTACATTAAAATAATGAAAGTGCAGGCTGACGAAAGTGCACCAACCAAATATGAGACAATTAGAGTATCAAAATAAATAATGAGAGTACTGGACTGTAAACCATTGGCTAAAATAAGAACCCTAAAGTGGATACTTATAAATAGAAAGTTCATCCTTATGGTAGAATGCTAATAAATAAATACAAAGTGAATGATGGGGTTAGCAAAATCAAGTTATGGAATCCTCAATGTCTAAGGACAGAGGAAGGGATCTGGAAAATGTGGTACAAATACACAATGGAATACTACTCCGAAAGAGAGAGAGATGAATTCTTGCCACCTACGCGACATGGATAAACCTAGAGAGGAAAATTCTAAGTAAGATAAATATGAATCAAAATGACAAAGACCAGATAATTCCACTTATATATGGAATATAGAGAAACAAAAGCAAGGTCACACAAAACTAAAGCAATTAACAACCCTTGACAGCTCACTGAACAATAGGCAAACCGAAAGGTGGGTAGCAAGGTAAGGGAAGATGCCCGGTGAAGCATGGCGGAAGACATGCATTCCTAGCAGTTTGAGCCTCTAGTAACCCTAGTGTCATACCCCTAAAACAAATACAATGATGCAAACCAACCTGACCTTAGCAAACACAACAGGTGAGAAGGATTGTGAAAATAAACGAAAAAGAAAACATACAGTCTTTAAAACAAACAAACAAACAAAAAAAAAAAACATACAATATGAGGTGGTCATGTGATGATGGAAATATTCAAGATCTTGTCTGTATAACTAGCCACATTTTGGTTATGATATTTTCATTTCACAAGATATCTCCACTAGAAGGATTTTGTGTTCACTCTATATTCTTTCTTACAATTTCATACCAATCTGCAAAACAAACTGTTTTATTTAAAACAAAATGTTCTTTCAAAACAAAATGTTTTATTTAAAATTAAAAAACAGGCTGGCCCTCCCTGGTGGCGCAGCGGGTTAGAGCACAGCACTGAGAATCTAAAGCCGCTTCCGCATGAGTTCGATTCCCGCCGCCCCGGAGGTGACCACATGGCGCGGCAGACCTCTCCTGACCCGCCCGCTGCTCCCCTCAGCAGTGTACTTCAGTCGCTCTGCCTGTTCTGTTCCCCACTCTGTCTCTGGTGAAGCCTCTCACCGCTCCTGAGCCTCTGGCCTGCACCCCAGTTCTGTATGCACAAATAAATAAATCTTTAAAAAAAAAAAATTAAAAAACAGGGCCCTCCTTGGTGACTCAATGGGTTAGGACACAGCACTGCAAGTGAGCACAGCTGCTTCACTGCGAGTTCGATCCCCAGCCCTGGATGTGATCCACATGGCGTGGCAGACCTCTCCTGTCCCACCCACTGCTCCCCTCAGCGATGTACTTTATCCATTTGCCTGTTCTGCTCCCCACTCTGTCTCTGGTGAAGCTTCTCAATGCCCCTGCACCTCTTCCCTGTACCCCAGTTCTGTATGAATAAATAAATAAATCTTAAAA